GCGGAAGATGACATCGTCTAGTCTGGTTAAGTGTCTATGGAGATTTATTTATTTTTTTATTTTATTTTATTTTTTTCTGAATGGGTTTTGTGTATATAAAAAACTGTCATAATTCGCTAACATTTATTTTTTTGACGACTTCATACAGGTTTTTTTTTATTGGGTAGGGCATTTAAACTTTTTATTTAGACTATGGAGTTTAAAATTTGTATTTATTATTTTATTGTTTGTTTGTTTTTTATGCTAATTATTCAATGCGAAAATTTGATGATGTCGGCAAAAAACCATTAACTCATGTCTATTGTTTAATAAATTTTATTTAGAAACTTAATAATGTGTAGTTTTTCATGTAGGCATAAAGGGCATGGGTCATCCCAAGTTTTACAAGTTCTAGTTTTGTTTATAATTTTCCATTTTACTTTTGGTGTTTTATTCATCTTCAAATGCCAAAAATATTTAGATAGAGATGTATGATTTCTTTCATTAATATTGTTGAAGGAGCACTTATGCTGCCTCCACCTGGTTTTAAATTCATTCTTCGTAGACCCAATGTATATCATATTAGCATTAGTACTCTCAATGGATGAGATAGTACATTGGTATATCATAAATTTTACGCGGCATATATTTTCCAATAGGCAGTCTTCTGGGTTTCTACAATCACATAATTTTTCACTATTTTTGTCTAATTTAAGTGTAGGGTTTTTATTAATACTATTCTGGCATGGGGGTTTATTCAGGATTTTATTATTCTGTTTTTATTATACTTTCTAGATTTTCAGTGCAGCTGTAACTTAATTTTAGGGTATTTTTATTAAATATTTTAAGTTTACTATTTGTAGGAAAGTTTATGTCCTAGCTTAATGCTAACCATTTGGTTGAACGGAGGGGTATACAAAATGATTTTTCTTTTCCTGTTTTTCTTCTGGTTACTACAATTGTTTCTATAATTGATGTTAGCATTTTTGTACCCACTATTTTTTAAGGCTGCGTTATAAAAATTACTGTGTTGTTGGAATATTTCTTTATTAGCGGAGTTAATGCTAAATTCTATTCTCTATTGATTAAAACTACAGGTAAAGTTCATTTTCTCCATCAAGGCATTCATTTCTGTAGTTCACTGCTACTAACAAGTAGATTTTTTCTGGCCGAAACTAGCCGAGAAATCTAATTGAAATAATAAAACGAAAAAATATTAATATGCATCCCAGTTTGTTTGAAAATTTTAATTTTTTAATATTTTTATCGTTCAAACACACACACACACACACACACACACACACACACACACACACACACACACACATATATATATATATATATATATATATATATATATATATATATATATATCTTAAGGTATCTTTATCAAAGCTTAGTCCTTTATTTAATAACCTGAATGTATTGAGCGAAAATTTACTGTCACTCCTCCGTATGGGTCATGTTTGCATTTGCAAACATGATGAAGTTCTTTCGTAAAAGCTCGAAAACTTGCATCATGTTCCCTATTGGGGATGTTATATCCCCATCCAAGTGTCCTGGTTAGGGGCTTATCCCTTTTTTTTTAAGGTTGAGCGTGTTTGCTGTTGATCGTCTACTAGGGGCCAATCTAGGTGGTCTGGGATGTCTAATGGGGTTATGAGTTCTGTAGAAGGGCTGTTGTGTTTTGGTTTGTGTATGTCTGTAAGACACCCTAAGGATTGACCGCGTAAGTTAGTGGTTGGTTTTGTGTGTGTGTGTTCGTTTTGAGGTTCGAGCTATAGTTGATGATGGTGGTGTCGTTATTGTTGTTTGTGATGTTGGTGGTTGTCTAGTGGTGGATGATTTTCGTCTGTTTTGTGTTTGCATTGGTTATGTGGTGGTCGGTGTTGTTGCTGTGTGTTGTTTTCTTTTGTAGTATGGTCGTTCACTTTTTTCTGAGTTTGGTTTGATTTCTCTTTTGTTCTTCTGTCTGTAGGAAATATTCCATTTCAATTTTCTTTGTTTTTCAATTTTTGTTTCTCGTAGTTTCTCATTGTTTGGTCTGTGTGAACTTTTATATCATTCTTTATGTTAGAATATTCCTCCGTGTCTGTTTGTTTCTTTATTTGCTCATAAAGCAGGTTGATTTTCGCTGTTGTTGCCGTTATGCTTTCCTGGAAGAAATGTATGGTATCCTGCATGAATTCCCTGGAAAAGTCTTGTATTTTACGGTACCATGATGCTAGAAACGCTTCATTATGGTTACTTATTGATGATCCCAAAATCAACCCTGAAATTGCTCGGGTATTAGTTGATACCTAAGGTATATCTTTATATATTCCGGGTGTGATTCAGACCTGGCTAATTTGTTGGTTGTTCTATTCATACGGATAGCCAATAATTCGTTCGCTGTTTATCAGTTCTGTTGTATATATATATATATATATATATATATATATATATATATATATATATGAAGAAATATAGTTTTAAGATGTGTTATATTTATGGGATAAAGTACTCAATATCAGAGACAGAGCGTATGTAAATATAAAAGTGAACATTGAAGTCAACACACAGAGGCGACAGGCTGTTTCAAGCTGGACGCAATCGTCAGGCGGCTTGCTGAGTTTTGACTTCAGTGTTCACTATATATATATATATATATATATGTTATATATATATATATATATATATATATATATAATATTATGTATTATACATGAAACTGGCAGTAGCGGAAAATTTTGCAGCGAATGTAAAGTTCATTATTTTTTATATTTTGGATCTGATATTTTATTTACCATTAGATAATATGACAAGTATATATATATATATATATATATATATATATATATATATATATTTCCGTTGCACCTTAAATATTCTTGTGATGGCTGTGATAACATCATGTCTTGTTTTGTACTCAGAGTTGTCTTTCTCCTAGACGGGTTGCCAACCAAGGCTAAACAGCCGAGTCTGTTCTCCTTTTTTAATTGTTTTTAAGGGGAGAAGGGATAGGCTAATACCATTTAAAAAAGTATTTTTGGTAAAGGAAACGTGAAGACCTCAGTCGGATATTGAAGTCGACACTCCATTGTCAGTTTCCGCACTGAGAGAAATATATATATATATATATATGTGTGTGTGTGTGTGTGTGTGCGTATATGTATATATATGTGTGTGTGTGTCTTTGTGTGTGCATGTGCGTAATGTAATAAATTCCACTCAAGCACTGAGATAAAGCCGCTAAGACGCAAGTCGCTCTTTTGAGTGAGAGAGAATAAAATTACTTTCTAAGGAACTGGAAACCCAATCCTAAACAGGAAACAAGGCATAAACCTCTGCTCCTGTTCAAAAGACCGGGGAGGAGTTTGAACCGGCCTACAGGCAAACCTATCTTTTCCTGTTAGGGAAAATAAAGTAAATAAAATTTGAGACTTTAGGTGGAGACCTTAGATTTGAAGTAAACTTTAGAATCTACCAGAAACCCAACCCTAAACAGGAAACAGAGGAAAAGCCTCTATTACAGTTGAAAAGACCGGGAAGGAGTGTGAAACAGACGATAGGCAAACCTATCTTCTCCTATTGAGGAAAAATAAATAAATAGTAAACACCATTTCAGAGCTTAGGCGTAGACGTTAGAAGTATAGAGTTGAAGTAGAATTTAGTAGGAATAGGAAACCCGGCGCTAAACAGGAAACAATGGAAAAGCCTTTGTTCCGACTCAAAAAATCGGCGAAGAGTGTGTGAACCGGATTTTTTATATAAAAAAGAAATAACCCATTGTATTATCCGTAAACGATCGTGGCATACTAGGAAGAAGACGCTATATTCGAAAAAAAAAACTGCGTTTATGCCTTTCCCAAGGTCATTATTAAGCGACCAGCAGCCGGAATTCGATTTGATAATTGTCACACTATCTCGTATCATCCACCTCAGTGTATTGCCAATCCTCAAATATTCAATATCTGTGTCTAAGGCTGATTGTCTAATCAATATTTTGTATCGTATCCCCAGGCCTATTCATATTAGCACCGGACATATTTGAAAATGACCCAATGGAAAGGTGGTTGATGTGTTGTGTTTACTGAACAGTAACAGTTTATAATCATTCTCTTCGGGTTAGAACAAATAAAATCATACACCAACTAGTCAGACTGATATATTTAACGACATTTTTACTGCACACAGTAGACTAAAACATCGGGAAATGACAATGAATGCTTGAAGATTCATTTTTCCCACACCTGACTTTTGTAAAAACAGAACCACACTCCCATAATGTATTATATTTATTTTATAACTTTTCTTATAAATGTTTATTTTGTCTGTTCGGTACTTAGCACCTACCCATTTTTTGTAGTGATTTTCTAAGCTTAGCTTAGAGGTGGCACAAGGCCGAAACTATGGAGCACCAAGTGCGGCTGCGAGACAAGCTAGTTAACCATTACAAACTTATTAACCATTACACCGTCTCGAGTTGCCCCACCTACCCTTTTTATATACTAAAATTCAGCTAATACAATTGATTGACTGAGTGATTTATCAACCTTCTGTAGGTTATTTAAAGCCAAAACATATTTTTAGATAGCAAAGATATTTGTAGATAATAATTATTTACTGATACAAATCCTACTAAGTAACTGTTATAGAGTAGTTTCACAGTGGAGGCTTGTATTTCACTAAGTCGGTCCTTAAAATAGGTTCGACGTACAAAACGTTAGGAACTTGATATAATAGTTAATGACGCAGCAATCTAGCTGTGGTGGCTGATACTTTAATGTCCGACATCGACTGACTGACCAACTCTCTGAGCCACTTAGCGACTCCTACTACTCCTACTTATTATAGGTGGGAGAGTCTATTAACTATAGAATAGGTGTGTTCCAGTATAACAGTAACCCATAGCTGGGGAAAGAAAGGTGGATTCCTATGTTTCCAATGGTATTTGGGCTTGATTATAACCAACCCGGCTAGAATTGGAACTTGATTTTACGATTACCAATACTGAGCCGTTAACGATGACATCAGTCGCACGGTATCTGATATTCCTAAGTGGTTATCCATCTAGGTACTAACCAGGCTCGACTTTGCTTAACTTCGGCGATCGTGCGAGAACCGGTCTTTCAATGAGATATGGCCGCAAGCTTGGGAGCAACTCAAGATAGAGGGTTACTGTTAATATGCTGATAATAAAAGTGGTGTGTGATATGAATGAAAAATAATGTTGTAGGCAGGGATGATTATGAGGATGAGAAAGAAAGATATCGACTGGACCCTTGACTTGAAGATGTTAGGATTGTAGTTTTCAAGGAAGTATCTACTTGGGAGTCTGTTCGTAAAGTAGCAGTTTTTTGTTGTCTGAGCGGAACTCTCTATTGAAATTTAGTATACGGGGAAAATGAGGCTGATTCGACTCTATGGTGTGTTCTGAACTGGTAGAACACGAGAGCGGAGCTCATGTGAACATTTGCCATGGAAATAACGATAGACTAGTGAAAGGCTTGCGACGTTGTGTCTGCTGGAAAAAGTGGGTATAGCATGGAGAAGTAGTTTAACTTTACAAGTCTGCATGACGATTTTAGGTCCTGTCAAAGGTAGAAAGTGGCAACTGAACCTCTCCAGCATAGATATGGCAGCAATACTCCATTTTTGCTTTTAACAGGTTACGGCTACATTTCTACTATTGTGCTTACCATATTTGCTTTAATCTAACTTTTGACAGAAAAGAGTCGTTTTCTTTCCTGAATGATAAAAGTGAGATCTGATGTTTGAGCGTGACATGACCGTAAGGTGGGAGCATTCAAAGATAGGCATCTTGTAAACTATCATATTTGACGGCATATAAGATGAACGGGTGTATAAGACGCACCCCAATTTCAGCAGGGCAAATCAATAAAGATTAGTAATTAGTAAAATTATTAATAACTGGTACAGCCTAGGCTATATTTATGAGGTATTCTTTTGGTTAAACAAGCCATGATTACAATTAAAAGAAAAATAATAGGAAAAAAGAACACACACCTATAAAAACTTTATCATATCCTTTAAATAATCTGTACAGCCTGCGTCTTGTCAACGTCTTATTGGAATAATTAGGATATAAAAATTCTGATGCAACTGGAAGTTATCGCAAGGAAAAATGTAATGAAATAAATATCTTTTACAAATATATAACTTGAATTTATTGCATATAATTTTAGCGAAACAAAGTACTAATATTAAACGTGATGAAATTAATATAATGAATATTATCAATGATAACACTTTTAATCTGCATAATAGCCTTTTAAATAATGACAATAGATATATGAAAGTTACTCTAAAGTCTAAGCTAATAGGAATTGCCAGGAAGCTAATTTTGTCTATCGCGAATCTTAAACCTACATATGGCATATAAGACGCAGGGGAATTTTAAACGATATTTTTAGTTAAAAAAAAGTCCGTCTTATATGCCGTCAAAAACGGTAATTCAAATTTCGCGAATACAACGAAGCCTGACTACGAAAAATCTCTTCCTCCCACAAGAGTTTCCATTTTTTTTTTCACACCCCTAATGACATTTTAACACGATACATTACTTACTTCCTTAACACAATGCTTTCTCCATTTTTAGTAGCTCTTGGACACAAAGCATTCAGAGTTAAACATTAATACACGAAGTATGATGCGTAGGTATATAAGTTGAGGGAAAGAGAATGAAACAGGTGCGCCTCATCAATAAAGCAACATAGAAATGACACAATAGAAATGATTAAATGCTTTCAAATTGCAGTTTATAAGCTTTCTTCTCTTTATGTAATGGAATCCGAAATACAATGAATCTAACGCTCTATTTTACTGTGGCGGAGTTTTACATCACCTCTGATGAAGCTGTCAAAGTAAAGTGGTTGAATAGACCAGGCGAAGGAAAAATGATAAAGAAAGTTTGATTTGAATGATGGCTATGGAATAGACATACACGCATGCTCAGATTCTACGATAGATAGATAGATAAATATGAACAGGCTGGAATAGATAGATAGATAGATAGATAGATAGATAGATAGATAGATAGATGAGCAGAATTAGACAGATAGATATGAACAGACGAGGATAGATAGATAGATAGATAGATAGATAGATAGATAGATAGATAGATAGATAGAAATGAACGGACTGAGATAGATATGAACAGGCTGGAATAGATATGAACAGATGTAAATAGATAGGTAAGTAGATAAATATGAACAGATGTAGATAGATAGATAGATAGATAGATAGATAGATAGATAGATATGAACACACACACACACACACACATATATATATATATTACAATTATATATATATATATAGATATATAGATATGTATGAACAGATGTTGATAGCTAGATATGATCTTAGTAGGATTGTGTTGTATTCAATAAAACATGTTTAAGAAAAGGGTTGCTTATTAAATATGCATAATATATATAGATATGGACTTAGATTGATAAAAAGATCGGAACAGAATAAGATAGTAGAATGCCGTCTGGACATATAAAATGAAAGAAAGATAAAGTAAAAATACATAGTAGAATACTTGAGATTCAGACGTTTGAAAGAACCAACACATGTGTTAGCTGATGGCGGCTTCATCAGTAGGCCTAGCATAGATATACATACTATATGAGATCCATGACGAAAGAAGAAAGTACTAACACAGGCTCATACTAAAACGACTACAGTTTTAAAGGTAAAGATAAGTAAAAGAAAGAGAAGTCGGTGGCAGAAGGAGCCAAACTTGAAAATAAGTCTGTAGCGACCGGCACGCCGGCAGGCAATATCGTTTGGATATAAGGATTCAAATTATAGCTTCCAGATTGTTCGACGGAATAATGGCGTAGAGGATGAATGCCCAGACTTAGTAACCGAACAATTAATAAAGACGAGATATTATTGAAATAAGAACAATCTATCCACGATTGAACAAGGGGCTCAGTTTGAAAATCAATGAAGGTTACCTAGAAAAAAGCCGGAGAACATAGTGTCGGAAACGTTGTCATAGTAACAACAAAGACGAGGTCATTAGTCTGTCTGTAAATAATATAAGCAATTGAACCCATTGCTGCTAACAAATCCAGTTCACTGTATCGTGCTAGACAATTTTTCTCTCCAGAATCTATGTTACATATTTACACATGCCAAACACACTGTAGCATGTCTTGCGTAACATTCTTCAGCGTCGTCAGCGCAGACTTATCTCAATGAGAATCTACCAGGAAGATGGATCGTGCGTGCTAGTGATAATGACAATATGCTGTTAAAATGGCCACCACGTTCACCTGACTTGACGCTTTGTGATTTTTTCTATGGCCTTATCTGAAAAGAAAAGTCCATATTCCTCCTTTTCAGGTTTAGAGGAACTTAAGCTAAGAATCATTGACGCGCTGGAGAATGTTACGCAAGACATGTTTGCCTGGGACATGTTGTTACTCAGATATTAGACATTTTAAATGATGTCAATTTTCGGGGACATCTTGTATATGGATAATGTTCGTGCAACACCACAGAAAGTGAAGCTATGTTTTTTATTTTTATTTTATCGCAACAATATACTAGTTTTCCATTTTGTATACATGCAAAATGCATCTTAATTAAATATATAAAGAAGAAAAATACTTTAGCGGACTGAAATCAGGCTTTATATGGTTTTAAACTCTTTGTGTGAGATTAATAAAATGGGAAACCAGATTTAAAAAAAGATCGCCAATTTAAAAAAAAAATTTTCTACTAATTTAAATAACTTCGAAATTTTAATGTTGATTTATTGCTAATAAAAAAACATAAATTTAGTCATAAAAATAATTTTGTGTATTTTAGTTGTAGAGTAGCTAGCAGCCCTTCAGCACTTTACAATATGGCCTGGCTCATAGCCTTAAATAGTCTACGATTAAGGACTTCAGCAGTTGATTAATAAGTTGATACTAAGTTGATTAATATTCGTACTGATCTTACTTTGGCTATACAACATTTGACCCTTCTCTATTCCTTGTAAGTTGTCTTGTTAATTGTTTGGTAACTTATTGTTCTGTGTTTTTGTATGTATTCGTTAGCACCAGATACTGATGCTGAATAAATATATTAAGCACTCATTCTTCTCTGTGAATCATTCACCTCGAAGATACAACAATTTTTAAACAGTCCTTATTCAAATTTTATCATAGGGCGAGTAAAAATCAATGGACAAAAACAACTCTTGCAAGAAAATTATCCAACAATTTTGATATTCGACTAAGAAAAAGTGTCCAGAAAAAAAATTCAATTTAATTTATAATAATTAATCTAATAAAATAATTGATATTTTAATAAAGTTAAATTTAATTTATGAAAATAAAATAACAGCTAATTATATAAATGATTTATGTGGCTTTTCCCGTAACATTTTCACTGCAAACATATTTTTTAACTTACTTAGATTGATGTCTGCTGACAGGAAAATTAAATTCAGAAACTAAAATCTTTCCAAAAATTAAGTAGTCATTAAAGAAATAAAACTCAACGAAAATTATTCAATTCAAAAATCGGCGGATTATGGCAAAATTGTACTCATGTTTTACGTAAAGTAAAAAAGTGGGTTATGGCAAAATTGTACTCATGTTTTATGTAAGTATTGCTAAAATATATTATTTGCAACTGTTGTCTGTTACCTGTTCACTCAACTGAAGAGTGGAGTAACCTTTGTGAAAATGTATGTATGAATATATAGCTGAAAACACTACCACAGATTGACCCAAGCCTTGTGAGTGAAATTGGATAGACGGGAGCCGTCGATGGTTGTGCGAGAAGACACAAGTCATCGTTGGTTGACTATTCATCACGCTAGATAACACCTTCTCTCTTACAGCAACTGTATAAAACCAAGGGTAAGCTCTGTGGGTGTTGAACAAACACAAATGTGCCTGAGCAGGCATCTGCAACAGGGATTGGCTAGACGACCTAGAAGACAGTCATCCTCGCATATGAATGGCCAGCCATTATCTATCTATCTATCTATCTATCTATCTATCTATCTATCTATCTATAATAATAATAATAATAATAATAATAATAATAATAATAATAATAATAATAAAAATAATAATGGAACAATCAAAGCTAACACTTCAGACATGGTTATTAGAGA